GTTTGCCATTGCGGTTCTTAAAGTCTTCACGATGCAGGCTTGGTTTGTCCCTTCAGTTCGTTGCTGAGAAGGTCAGCCTCCCCTTTCTCCTTGACTTCCGACTGCTGCTGGTGTCGCTTTTTGTTTTGTACCCAGAGATCCCAATACCCATTGATGAAGGAGTGAACCTTAAATTATAATAAGGTCCCTAATATGATTTAAGGCATATTCCTTAATTCAGGGGTAGTGGGCTCTCTGGGCATGTGTCTGTCAAAACAATAGCTACACCACAATACTTTCTTGGCTACATAGGACCGGCGAAGAAGCTGAAGGCAAGCCGCGCATCCGAATGCCGCAAGGATCAGCCTCTGGCTTGTACAAAAACAGCTATTTTAATTTGCTTGAATTCACACATCCCATGCAAAGACTGCATCCGTCGGCGCATAGCGACTGGGACAGCGGTTTGGGAACTTCCCTTCATGGAGTTGCTTGGCCTTCCGCCGCCATCACCAAGGCTCTAAGACTAATAGACCAAACCTTCCCCCAGACTCGTTTAGGGCTGGAAGTTTTGGGTTTGGGGCTTAGGGTTTAGGGTTCAGGGGTCATTTAGGTTTCAGGCTAGGGATTAGCTTTTAGCGTTGAGTGTTTGACAAAGAGGAAGCTGTCTGCAATGGCATCCCAGGGTATTGAAATGTCTTGGTCCAGCATCCTAACCCTTAAACACTCTTTGCCTAAATCTTAAATTAAGTTGTCTTGCAACCCTCACCCTCAAGCTTCGGGTTTCGATTTTTTGGTATTCATCTAATGTTGAAACCATGGGCCCCTAGTGTGTGCCCTTAACCCTGGGACCCTTCTATACCTACTTCATACCCTATAAATGTACCCTTTAGGATCCCTAGCATCCCCCTAGAAGGGCTAGGGGCCATAGTAGGTGCCCATACTACGTCCGGGCTTTCGGATACCAGGAACTTCAAGTTAAAAGCTTGGACACCCCAGAAGGTCGTGAACACGACCTTGTCTAAGCACTTACGTCTGACTGCCGGTACAAATCGTCCCAAGTTCAGCCTTGTCCTTTTCATGGTTCCCCCCAAAGAATAAACAGACCGGCTAGTAGACCTTTTTAAATAATTCCTACTAAGGGATATAGGTATAGGGCTCTGTCTATTGTTCCTAAAAGGACATGGGTGAGTCGGATGGCAAGGATGGAGAGGCATCAAAGCAAGTCCATGTCGTATCATGGCTTTCCTGGGACGCCGATCGAGGGTTGCGTGGTTTTCATCGTGTTCCGGGCCTTCAGCGGCCGGAACGCGGAAACCCTAAATCGAAGATACATGTTTTCTATATATATATATATATATATATATAGGTAGATATAGATATATATAGAACAGTCATGTAATATAAATAACACAAGATAGTAAAAGACACCTTGAATCGCAGAGCCCTCGGCCGCTAAGACCAAGAGGGAACACTAAATCCTAAACCAAAGCTCTGAAGGCCTAAAGCCTGAAACCTAAACCGTATGAACCCCACACCCCCAAACCCCAAGCCCTAAACCCCAAACCCTAAACCACAAACCCCAAACCCTAAACCCCCAAACCCTAAACCCTAGACAGAGCCTTTCGGAGTTCACTTTGACATGTACGCTCCAAACAAAGTCCCTTCTGAACCCTAAACCCTAATCGCTACACCCCGAGCCGCTAAGCCGAAGACCGCCAGTCCTCCACCGACAGTCATAGGAGGCCAAGAGGGGTTTTAGCCTATGGGGGTTTAGCAGGGATTAGGATTCCCAAAATAGGGTTCATATTCAGGAATCCCTACCCCAAGAATCTTAAACCCCCCTTTTGGCCTCCCACCGACAGTTCCCCGGCCAAGCCCGCGCAGCACGCGAAGCGGCATCTCGAGGAAGACGCTTCGACGGAGATCTTCCCACCCAGACACGCCCGGGGATCCGGATGGTTTGCTTTTTGTTTTAGGGGTCATGAGTCTGTAGGGTTTAGGGTTTAGGGTCTAATCATTGGGTTTAAGGTTCTGGGGCCCGGATTTGTTTTTCTAGGGGTTGGGGGCACAGGTTTTGGGTTTTTAGTTCAGGGTTGTGGGTTTTTAGTTCAGGGTTGTGGGGTTTGGGATCTATGGGGTGTAAGGTTGACTACCGGTTCTCTAGGATGCCCAGTAACTAGTACCCTCATTAACTTTTTGTAGTCCTAGGTCCTTCTAAAGTTTCCCAATACCAGAAAGGGAGCCGTTTTTATTCCTAGGTTACTGGGCATCCTAGTTCGTGGTTTCTTGGCCTCAATGCAACACTCATGTATGTTTCCGCATACTTGCAGCAGACCCGCTTATACACAAGCCAGGTTATTTGTGTAATGAATCGTATATGACAATGCATGCGCACATGTATAAATATATATATATATATATATATGTATATATATATATATATATATATATATATATATATATGTGTGCATATATATATATATATATATATATATATATTATATGTGGTTATATATATATATATACATATGTATATACACACAGTACATAGATGTACCAAATTACAGATCTCAACTACGCATACATATGCGCGTAGGTATTTGTGCATCTGTCAGTTGTATCTGTACGTAGCTAGGGAACATGAAGGAAAGTCTCCACAAGAGTAGCTTAGCCTTTTGCCTGCCATCTTGGCCAATGTGAAGAACAAGGGAGCCCCAGAGAAAAAAGAGACCCCAAAGAGTGCCGAAGCTCATTGCTAAACCCATAAAGTTCCCAAGGAAATGAACTTTCGGCATGACTCTGCTAGGGTTTACGGTTTGGGGTCTTGGGTGCCCAGATGTTTCTTCGGGGCCGAGGTTTTCTGTGTGTTGATATCGGGCTTAAGGGTAGCGGCATTGTTGTTACTTGCATACTTAAGCTGCGTATCTGCTCGGCTTGCCTCGCCTTCTTACTTCTACAGTAAGCTCCATAAAGTTGGAAATCGGATTAAGGCCAAATAGTGCCGGGATTCCCTATACATTACTCTTAAGAATTGAGGCTATGGGGTTTCCAACTTTTGCGCTTCTACTGTACAGCTACTTACTATTCCTTCCTTTCTTGTTTGCCTGCTTGCTTGCTCGCCAGCTCGCTCGCTCGCTTGCTTTGGTTGATTTGCTCGCTTGCTTCCCTACTTCCTTATTTGTGGATGCATATACCTTATACTGCCACCGTTGTATCATGCTGTTGCAGGCTGTTTTCTTGTGCAGGCTGCTTCTTTCAGGATTAGGTGCACGGGGTCGAGGTGCCCAGTATTTCACGGTTCGGTGACATTATGTCATGTTCAGGCCTGAAGAATTGCCAGTATGATTCATCAGGCTTCTAAGCCTGCTGTTTTGAAATTTGGTCCCAATTGAAGCCTCATCCAGAGGTTCAACTCCCCGGAGCGACAGGATAGAAGGGTAGCTGGCCTCTTGCCCGTATTTAGGTTTTATGCTGTTAGAAGTTCAAGATTTCGGGTCCAGGCGCCCTGAGGCCCAATGAGCTCAGCAAGGGTGGGAAGAGGCGCACAGCCACAGGCTGCTAACGAGAGGCCGCTGTCAGGCGACAAGGGATGCTGCAGCTTCACATGCCTCCTCGTTCTTCAAAGTTGGCAAGGTTACTTTAGGGGCCTAAAACCATTGCCAATACTAGTTTGGAGGTTCCTTATTATAGTCATAGTAGGATGGGCCCCAAACCCTATTCTAATTATTACGGCCCCTGCAGTGGACTAATAGTTGCCGCAGTGTGTAACTGTTGCACCAAATACCCTGAATCCTCAAGCCTATAACCCCCAGCCCTTCACGACGAAACCCCCCGTGAACCTCCCTCTGCGTTTTCCATCCTGGTGGAGCTGCAGCGAGTTTCTCTTCAAATTCGTTTCGTGGCATGACTACACAGCCGGCCGCAAACGGGCACTGCAAGCCGTAACACCCTGCGCCCTGAACTGTCAGCCATGGACCCCAATCCCTAAGTCTCAAACTACCCTAACCAGAATTGCGCATTTAGCTTCTCACCATGACCATCATCACCAGATCTGGCAAAACGATCCCAGTGCTCACTTGCAAAAAACCAACAATGTCCGTCAAAACTACATGCTGCTGCTATATTGCAGTAACTGCGTTTTTTTTGCATGTGCTCGTACGGCTAGCAAATGTCTCGGACCACCTGTGCCTCATTGTTTCAATGCAAGGGCGCTCAGAAGTGATGCAGAACACCAAGTTAATGGGGCCCATTTGGGAGCGCTGTCTGTGCCAGGACTTTTTCGATGATGAAATGCCAGCAAGACTTGAACTCCATTGAATAAATTAATTAGTAACTAGTATGCTGAGGCTCTCACAAATCCTATAATCTCCCTTTCAAATTGAGGGTCCGGTGATACAGTGAGTTCCAAGCCTGATTAAGACCTTCCCCGAAGATGCGCCTGGAAAAATCCGAGCAGTGAGAGTATATTGCCCGAGACTTATGGCAACAAATACTAAAGCCTAAACCCTACCCAGCCCTCCAGCCCCCCCCCCCCCCAATTACCCTCTAATGTACCCCAAATACCCACCATTAAGAGGCATAAGGACTCTATTAAATTAATTAAAGGGCCCTGGCCTGGGGTGTCCTGGTAAACCCTAAACCCTAACACAAAGCTTTGAGCTGTCCGGCAAGATGACCTCCCTCCCGGAGACCTCCAAAGAACAGGCGATGACAGAAACAAGTGCTGCGGTGGATGATATAAATCCTGCATCCCCTTGAGGACCCTAAACTATGGGAATTATGGTATCTTATTATGGGTAATGCAGGATTTATATCATCAACAGTGGGATCCTTCCAGGGCTCTACGGCTTCTACAAGATAGACCCAACCCCGAAGCTCTCACAGGGATAGAGCTTGGTCCCGACCCATTGGCTCCACGGAGCAAGCGTTCTGGCTGTCGGGATTTGGACTCCATTCCCGAAACATCCAACATGTACAAGCGCCCGGAGCTCAAAAGCCACACGCATAAAGCTGTGTGGCAGGCCGCCTGTGGTGCGGATCACTCCCTCATCCTCACGGAGGACAGATCTTCCTGGATCGCTTCGGTTTCAGCAAGACTAGCACATGGCGATACTACCCAAAGAGCGCAGATAACACTACTGTCCAGCTGTGACTGTTAAGGCGGTTTCATGGGCGTAGATGTCTGGGAGGTGCTGCAGAGGGATGTTCTCCGGCTGATGCTCCATTCGGGGGAAAGCTCCGTCCCTGTTTTGTGTTGTTATTTACAGACAAAGCCCTGTTACATGTGACTAATTGTGCTGGAGCCGTATCAATGATATAGATCCCCACATCCCCGGCACCAACAACTCAGGTGCGACGACACTTCGTCCGCACGCAAAAAGCACGATTGCTAGCGTTTGGGGTCTTGGCTTCAGGGGTTGAGGATACCCTCCGCCCCGACACCCCGAACATGTAGCCCCATGACAGGACGGCAGCATCTGGGCTTGTGGAAGAGGCCGGCCGCAAATGTTATTCAGGACCTTCAAGCAGGTTCTAAGGGGTACATCCAAGGGCTTACGTTGGATTCATCACGGTTTGGGGGGCTTTTGTGCTCACAAAATACATGGGTTTGCAAGGGTTTTGAGGGTTAAGGGCTGATAATCAGGGGTTTAATCAAGCGCCTCCTCGATTTCGGAGCTTCTGCTGAGGGGCCGCTCTCTTCTCGCAGCCCTGAGGAGAACGTCATGTTCAGTGTTTCTCGCTATACCCCGAGCTGACGTCAGACATGCGATTGCTCTCAGAAATCTTGAACCCCCTAACTCACGAATTCTGTCCAGCAGGGAGCTCCCAACAGCAAACAAAGCCAAAAGTCTGAGTCTCCAAACCCTCAAGCCAAGCACCCTAAGCCCTTTCATGATTCAGAATTTCCAATCCCGAAAACAAGCAGCAACCGGAGGCACGGAGGGGCAGCTCGGCATCGAGCTCTCTGCCCTGCCCTCAGTCTTTAGGAACAATTTTCAGCTTGCAAAGGCATTGGCTCGAGGAATTTTGTTAAGGGATTTATAGTTTCTAGTTTCTAGCAGTATTGGTGCAGGATTTGCGCCGTAGGGGGCTAGGATTCAGCGCAGGGTTCATGGCTCAAAGGGGATGAGGAGCCCGATACCCTACCTAAATCGCCAAAAGTAGGGAAAATAGCGGCCCAAGACCTACAAAGGGCAATGCTTACACATACTTTTGGGGTCCAGAGAGCTCCTAGACCCGAAAAGCCAAACCTCCACACTCAACCCTAGCCCCCCTAAACCCTAGGCCCTAAGCCCATAAAGCCCTATACCCTGAACCCTAGCCCCTACATCCCATGATCCCACATGGGAGTTTCCGAAAATCAGGGACCCAATTTAAAGTACCCGAAATAGTAGGATCCTTATGATAAGGACCCACAAATGAGGTACCCCTAATTTTCGGAAACTCTAAACCCTAAACCCTTTATAGATCCCTTTAAGGAACCCTGTAAGGATCCCTTTAGCGGTACCCCTAATTTTTTGGAAACTCCCAAATCCCCTGCAGACCAAAGTCCTGGTCAGGAGTTCGACCGGGCTCTGAGTCCGCTCTGCGCTGTGTCTCAAGGCCGCCGTTGGTCGTTCACAGGTTGTTTTTGTTGAAAACATAGGTTTTTTCAACACATAGGTTTGTTTTAAACATAGGTTTTTTTTAAACAACCCTTTTTTTAAAACCTATGTATGCTGTCCGTGCTTTTCGGCTCTTCTGGAAATGAGGGCTTTGGGATTTGGGGCTTCAGGGTATTGGGGTTTAGGGCTTCAGGGTTGTATAGGCTTTCTAGAGTTTTGGGATTTAGGGTACACAGGGCCTTTTAGGGATTTAGGGCCTCGGGAGTCTAGGGTTCTGTCGAGGCGCGTGCCACGTCGCTGCGGGAGCCGACCACTCCGTCTACCTTGACAGCTATGGCTGGAGCCTTGAAAGCCAGAGGTTGCAATAATCTGACAGAAAAATGTGCTTGAATTCAGAAACGATCCGAAGAGTAATTATGGAGTGCTTGGTTCATAAGGGTATCTTTTGTTGGCTCCTGGGTCCATTGCCGACTTCGGCTTGCGGTGACTGCGAAAGAAGAGAAGGCACGAAGGCTCCCCGGAATTGCATGGACTTCAGGCGGGCGGAGTACGTAATAATCCTCAACGTCTTGCCTGAAGTGTTTGCCGTCGTGCCATCGTATTCGAGACATGATGAAACTCCTGTACACCTGCATGCCCCGGCAGCCTCGATGCAACTGCGGAGGTCGTGCCTTTGCCTTCGGCGAGAACTGCAAAGGCCAACTTGGCATCGGCACCTGCCCGAGCCTCGGTACTCCGGGGGAAGAGCGCGGAGGGCAGGGTGATGTTTAGGGCTCAGGGCCTGGCTCAGAGGATAAAAAGATGGGATAGGTGCCTAGGTTGTCTGTGTCATTATGCTATACCTGCAGTCTCCATTGTAGTTCCTTTTCTGGGTTAACCAAGTTTAGGGTTAGGATCCTACAATATAGTTTTGGGGTATCCAACTACACTGGAAACTATAGGTATGTTACACTACTACAGCTTCCCCGGCTCGTTCATTTCATGTCCCTAGCTCGGAAACGTCGTGCAACGTTTTGAAGTGTGAAGATTCGTAATTGCGCCTGGGATCAGATAGGGGCCCGGGAAGCATCAACTTAGCTTTTCCATGCAGATGTCGTAGCTCCCTACTCAAAAGAGTCCTAAAAACCTTCAAACTCCGTGAACTCTAGGGCTGAAATCTCGAAGACCCTTGCAGTCGAGTCTCAACCCCACCCTTGCCCGAGTCACAAATTTCTGAAGCCTGAAAGCCTCAAATCAAAATCTGCACTGCAACATCCTACCATACCTTCTGCGTCCGAATACCATGCCCCAAGCCCTGAAACTCAAGTACCAATCCCCTATGCCAGGTGAATCCGTCTCCAGCCCTGCTATGGCAACTTGGCTTAGTTTCAGGCTGTTTTGGATTATGAGAGGATTGCAGCATTACAGGTTGGAACGTCGCACAACCGCGAGCCTCTCATACCTGCGAGCCTGTGTCGGCCACGCATTCATCAGTACAGCTAAGCACCAGATGTAGATGCCAAAGGCTCGAAGCCTTCAATCGGAGAAGTCCAGACACGAATCAAGAATCGACTATACCACTTTCCGCACAGCCCCAAGCCCAAAACCTCACAGCATCTCGCTCATGCAAGCACAGAGGTCGCAGTGCCTGCTGGTACGTTGGTCGTCGATGTGGATTGTGGCGGGACCGAACTGTTAACTGTTGCGCACCTCTAAAACTGTACGCTTTCAGAGTGACCGACCGAAGTTCCCCGGTTCTGTTTTGCTCCTAGCTCGAATCTGGCATGCATCTTGTAACCGATCATGGCTGGAGTCTCTATACCATGCTGAGAATCCCCGGAACAGAACATTTCGGGCCAAGGTTTCGGTGCTTTAAACCCCAAGACCCCCCCCCCTCTTTTTCCCCGCCCCAAGGTCCGGTAGGCTTTCAAGCCCTGAATCCGAACGTGGAGATGAAGGACTCACACCCTCCTCCTCACGGACGACCTGCGCGTCCTGGGATGTGGAGGCAACGAGAAGGCCTGCAGTTGGTTCCAAAAAGCTGGGTGAAACATCGCGAGGGATTTGGTGCTAAGTCCTGCAACTGTGGTCATGCCAGATAAAGCAGGCAGAGTCAGTAACGACAACAAGTGTGCATCGTGGCGATATGCAGCAGCATCACAGATAGGTTGTGTGTACGACTTGAGGGCTCAGGCAGTTCGGGGTTCAAGGTTGAAGTCTCGGATGTGGCGGGTTGCACAAGCGGCTGCAAGGTTGCAATGTGCTGTCGAAAACGTAGACGGTTAGACCCACATCAGGGGATCTCTGCCTGCTGCAGCCACCTCCTGGCAGTTCTAGCTTCTTGGCCCGCCGATTGCGAGGTCGGGTCGCTTCTGACAGCTTCAGAATCACCAACATTGAAAGTCGCACAGCCATGATGTGCTGGAGACGCAAATGTCTTCAATCAAGCATCTTGCAGCCCAGCTGCAATCGGTTGATTGTGACGCTCCACGCTTCTGCCTTCCCTGAGATATTCAACCAATTCCCCAGCATCACGGACGCAGCATTTGCAGGGGATCCCCTGTGCCGGCTAGAGGCGTCAAGGCGGGGGAGAGTTATCCAGAGACTTCTCGCAGAAAGCTGTCCAACGTTCTCACCATCAACAGCATGCACGGGGTCAGATCAGCTCTGCGTGAACGGTCAAAGACGGGCGAGACATCAAGGTGAGTTTGATTGGTCAGTCAATGGAAAGCGCGTGAAGTGCAAGAGCACTCGTCTAGCGTGGAACCGTGCTGGACAACGCTGGAATGCTAGATGGCACAGCATCAAGTTGGCCCCAGAGGGTACCACAGAGAAGTGTCCGTTCGATGATCTGATTCTGGTTCTGCATTCACCGTTCAACCTTGATATCATACTGCACGACCTGAGAACTGGCATTTCCAACGATGGTCTGCGCACAGCAGCCTTTGGGCAAGCTGTCACCTGTGTAGCCCAAGCGGGAGCGCTTGATGCTGAGAAAGCTCGACAGCAAATCGTTCATAAGCTATGTCTTTACCCAAATGCATGCCGCCACCTTGCATCTTGGAGAACGGATGTAGACCCTGTAAGCCAAGCTGCCACGCAAGAGCTTGTCAACATCAGCTGTCGGCGTTCATGGGGCTGCTACACGGCAGCCCCCTTTGCAGAATTATCTGCTCCAGCACGTGGCCTTCGGCTGCAAGATTTAGCCTGCAAGATTGACCAGATACTCCATCCAAACAGTATGTTCTCCATCGGCTCCGGCGCAGAGACGTTAGTTGGGGAGCGGCAGCGGCAAAGACGAGGAACGTCAAGAAGCAGTGCCGACTGGTGTCGGGATGGCCGTAGAATTGAGTTCAAAAGCTCGAAGGTTCACTGGAATCATCACACTCAAAGATGGAAGGTACGCTTCGCGTATGTGAAGGACGCAACACACGCAGGTGACGCCCTATCGCCGTTTGATGAGCTTCTCCTCGGCATATACGCTCCCTCTGCTTTTTACTTGGTTCGGCATGCTGGCAACTTTGCAAAAACAAGCGATGGTAAGGCTACTCGGATCCGCGGATGCGCAATTGATCTGTCAAGTCCCAAGAATATTGCTGATGTCTCAGTAGCCTTGGACTGCTTGCTGGCAAAGTTCCAAGCAGCTGGTTGCAGCGTCCTTGCACGGGTGGAGTGGTGATTTTGCCTTGCATTGATGTGTCGATGTCTGACTGCCAGCTGAAACTAGTAGATGCATGCTAGATGTGCTGATTCGCTCAGTCTTTTCTTTGACGATGCACCGACACACCTCCAAATAAGACACTCGTACAGCACGTAAGCTTGTAACCCCCATTGGATGAACAGGTTTGGCAAAGCAGATTGAACAGAAGTTTGAAAAAGGAACACGCTAAGCCAAATCGGATCCCATTGTACAGCTGTTGTCTAGTTGACATCCAGCTTTAATTTTGTTTCAATTTGATACACTGATGCTTGAGGCGTCTCCGTGCGGGAGGAGGTTATCAACGTAAGTGCCGTATCGCAGGTCCACCAACAGCTACTCTGAATCACCAACCTTGTCCGACTGCCTCTTTTCAGCAGCCGTGGCCACACTATATTCAATTGCAACGTCCAGCAGGCTTTTAGTCTTCTCCAACCCCAACGCCACGCAGAAATCAACGCCCTTCCACTGGCAAAGCGGTACTTGCTCTCTGCAGCTCGAAACATGGCCGAAGAGCACCGGAACCTTCAAATGTTAAACCCAACCAGCATATCGCCTTGTGCCTGTTTTATTGCGTCGCTGAGTTCTGAGTTGGATTGGGCTTGCGGTTTCAAGATGTGTCAAGCTAACTTCGACATCCAAGAGCTTCGCACGCCCTAGTACCCTCAGCAAACGTCTTTGGAAACATGCCCTACATCCTTCATCTCCCCTGCCCCTACCCTAATCCGCTAAGCCCCTATACACCGTAAACTCAGGGGCAGCTGGGCCTTGGCTCGAAGAGAGATCGCTTGGCCCGGGGGCCTCGATCAATTGGCAGCCTGTGTTTGGATGTTTGTCGGGTTCAGGGTTCCGGCCTACATAGGGGTGTACAACGTTGTATGGCGAACTTTGGGATTTATGCAGGGGCCTGAATCTCAAACCTCTGGCGGTAAATAGGGATCTTAACGTGGATCCTTGCGTGGGTCTTAGTGTTTTCGGTGTGAAGTAGACCAGGCTTTGACTCGGTGCGTTGCTAAAGAAGGGCTTGATTGGGGCTTGAGAGTTTTTGATTTCGGGAAGTTGGGTGTCAGAGTTGGGGAGATTCTGGTTTCAAGGGGCTAGTGAGTCAGCAAGCACTCAATTCTTGGGGTGAGATTTGGGGTGCTGACCGTTGTGTGACAGCCTTCCAAGTCTTGTGATTTCGATCTCGATTTTTGACGCAGGCAATCCTTCCCCGAATCCTGGGATATCTTTCTACAAGTACTTTAAGACCTCGAAGTGTGACGCAGACACCTGGCGACTCCAATGGCCGTGAAGCCCGCACAGGTTCCAGAGCCCGTTGTCCTTCACCCAACGCGGCCCTCGCGTGCCGACCGCCAGGACCTTGGCAAAAGCTTGTCATGAGAGCAATTGCGACTCAAAGCCGCGGTCAGCCATGTCCATGACCATCGCCACCACAGTCACTGTCATCATCATCAGCATCATCATCACGGTCAAAAACAGCATCATCAGCAGCAGCATCATCATCGTCATCAGCATCATCAGCTTCAGCTTCACTATCATCGCCATGCCATGATAATCATCATAATCTCCATGACTTTCGTCACGCACGCCGCCATCTTTGTTTTTTTCGGCTCCGTCGTCAGAAGCAGCAGACGGACGGTACTTCTTTCAAGAGCCACTCTGCTCCTTTCTCCCTTTGCCTCTCGATTTGTCTATCTGACTGTTTGTCTCTTTGTCGGTGCATCCGCCTCTGAGATTCTGGTCGTTGTTGTTTGTCTGGCATACAAGTCTTTCCAAAAATTCGGAACGCTTGGTGTGAACACACGGCTCTGCGGGGTTGTCAACATGACGTTGCGATCGAGTTGATCAGCATAGACGGCACACTCTCTAGGAGCAGATTGTTCCAGGCTGGCGTGTATCCCATTACGATCGCAGAGCGGGTTCTTTCAGCATGCAGAGGACATTCCGATATGTAGTCCCAAGCTTGCAGTTGCTTCTAAGATACACAAGGGGCCCTAAAGCGATCCCAAAACAGCCTAGAACACGAAAACAAGCACTGAGGCATTAGCTGTGGTTTCAGCCACTCGGTGGTGCTTTGGCACGGCAGCGTTTGGGCAGCGGCCTAAGTTTCCTCATCTGATGTTCAGAACGCTTGCTTCTTCTGAACTGTTCATCAGGTGTCCTCTGCCCGAAGTTTAGGGTTCAGTTTACCCAAAGGCTACACCCTAAAGCCGAAAGCCAAAAAGCCGCAGATGATCTGGACCAGGTTCTTGGCGGCCAGGCGCCGAAGGAGGTAGGAGAGGCTGGTTCTTAGGGTTTGGGGTTGAGGGTTGTCGGCAACCCGTTTCAGGCTAGGCGTGCAAAGTTCAACGCTCTTCAATCCGAGGTTTCTGGTGCATCATGGGGCTTTTGGGTTGGGCAAGGTCGGCATGGGGCTGTAGGATTCGGAGAGGAAGACCAAGCCCGTCGCTCAGGGACCCTGGCCTTACTTATGAAACGTGATTTGGTCGTGTTCTTTCGTGCGGTCTGACCACTGGTGAGGATGGTTCGCCTAGGGCTGAAGCCACGGATGACAGAAGCAAGACGTCGCCCGCGAGTCTGGCAAGTTTCGGCTCGGCATCTAAAGGGCTAACAACTACTCTAAACCCTAAGCCCCAAGACCTGACCCCGAAACCTAAGCAACCCTCCACCCACAAAACCCTAACCCGAAATCCTCAATTCCGCACCCTCAAACCTAAAACCTGAACCCTCAGCCGTCAAACCCTCAAAGCCTAGCCCAAACTCCTGAAACTTCGAACCTTCAAACCCTAAAGCCTGAACCCTCAACCGTTTAAAGTCTAACTAACCCTCAAACCCTGAAACCCTGAAACCCTGAAACCTCAAACCTTCAAACCCTGAGCCCTCCACCCTGGCCCTCAATCTCAACCTGCAAAACCCTCGATATCCCCAGAGCCTCCAAAACCCCTTAATTAAGGAATATACCGTAAATTATAATAAGATCCCTAGTATAAATTATGGTATATTCCTTAATTAAGGGGCTTTGGAGGCTCTGGGTCCCTCGATGCTACTACGAGGCATTGCGGCCCCGCTTCGGCCCTGTTCCTCGAAGACTACGAGGGCCCCTGGAGAGGCCCTGGTTCGTAGTTTATTTCAGGGTTTGTTGGGTTTCGGGTCTAGGGTCTAGGGTTCAGGCTTTGGGGTTTAGGGTTTAGGGTTTGTAGGGTTTAGGGTCTAGGCTTCAGGGTTTACGGTCTAGGGTTTAATTAGGGTTTATAGGGTTTATAAGGTTCTTTTGGATATGGCCTGCCCTGGAGAGGCCCTGGCTGGTAGTACTGGTAGGGTTTTGAGGTTGTTACAGGTGTTAGGGGTGTTTGGTTTTACAAGGTTTAGGATGAACCTTATATAGACCATCTTAAGCCTATATACAGTTCCGGGCCAAGCCCTATAGATTCAGGGGTTAGTTGCCTTTGGAACTTTGGAGCCGTATACGGTTTAATGCTTCGGGACCTAGGGTTGCAGATTGTAAGCTAAACCTTGAAGTAGGCACCAGACTATATTGAAGCTACACACGTGACTGAACGCTGATAGGGCATGTCCGTCGTGTTAGACAGCAGTTTCAGAAGACAGGGGTATGCTGCACGAACACTGGGCACAAAGACCAACAAGAGTAACAAAAGGCTCCGGGGTGCCACCGGGCCGGGGCTATCAGACCCGACCAACGCTTTGCTGCTGCACCTGCTACTATAGAAACCTAATCAATTACCAACACTATTTTGGGGCTTCCTTATGTATATAATGGGCCCCAAACCCTATTCGAATTATATTCTTCGTAGCCGCTGTGCTCGAGCACATTCAAGAACGAGAGGGCAGAGCGCAGCTGCCTCGTGGCTTGGCCGGAGTTCCGTTGTTGGGAGGTTGTATAGATCATCCTGGCTTGGAACCCTGGAGGGTTCTTTGAGGGTTACTTGAAGGATTCCTTTAAGGGTTCCTTTAAGGGCTACTTTAAGGATTCCTTTAAGGGTTCCTTTAAGGGCTACTTTAAGGATTCCTCTAAGGGTTCCTTTAAAGGCACCTGTATGCCTGTTATTGGAGAGACCCCACTCCCGCAGACCATCTAAGCCTAAAGGATCCGAGCCCAGCAGTGCGCATAGAAGGCTAACTGAAGGCTAACTGTTCTTAACTGAGGTGCTGAGGTGACAGGGCCCAAGAGAAAAGAGCTTTTCCGAAGGTTCAGGGTGTACATTGCAGACTTCTGTGCACAGCAGAATTGTTCCTGGAAGTCGCTGGGGCTTCTTCCTTCAAGCTGCAGAAGCAAGCCAATCGGCACTCTGCTATATGCTACTGCTCCTCCTTGACGAGGAAGCACCCCGAAAATCACAGATCATTCGGCCATCTCGAAAACCTCAACCCTAAACTCTAACCCTGCCCCCTGAACCTTAATTTTCGGCCCCAATCCCTTTATAAACCCTAATCCCTACACTACAGTCTATACTCCTATAGGTATACCCTGTTATATGACCTTATATAACGTTATATTATATAAACCCAGTATACACCCGGTATAAACTGTATAGCCCTTTTGTTACACCCCATTTTATAACCTTACATAAACCCAGTATAAACCCGGTATATACTGTATAACCCTTTTGTTATACCCTGTTATATAACCTTATATAAACCCAGTATAGGCCCTGTATAGCCTTCGTTTTCGGCCCAGGCGGCTGGATGAAGCAGCACTCGCTCGTGCTCGGCGCCTTGCTTCTCCTCCAGACCGTCACCGCGCGACTCATGGAGGTGGTACCTTTGCCTGGCATGTAAGGGCCCTTTAAAAGACCGTAGTGTCTACGGTGTTGGGTTTCTAGAAGGGGTTCAGGAAGCTAAGTTAAGTTGCCATAGTAAGACAGGAAATTGTGCTTTTGGCTTTAGAACTCTCTTATGGTGGCGTAAACTTAAACTAGACTCATGGAGGTGGTGGCTTGGCCTGGACCTAAGGGTCCTTTGACGGACTTTTAGACGACTCAATGACTAGGGTGTAGGAATTCTTAGAAGGGGTTTCGTAAGTGTTTTTTTACATGTTTATGTAAGGTGTGGGGGTCCAGAGGACCTGGTCATCAGGTACTTGGGTTCAGGATAGTAGTTCTGTCAGTCAAAACTTGGGAGAGTATATGAGAATTAGGCACTTGGTGCCTTGGCCTGGATTTCGGAGTTCAGGGAGTGGATTTTCAAGGGTTCAGGGTTTGAGGTAGTAGTGTCGGCTGGCTCTTCAGCCATGAACACCACAGCATTCGAGCTTCAAATCTCGGAAATTCTACACCCGACACCCCTAACCTCAACTCCTGTTCGTCTAGCAAGCAGGTGGGCCCAATCGGTTCTGTTGAGCTACCTTTTGTAAGGGGTCCCTCTCAGGGGATGAGTGTATGGGGCCCCTTCTTTCACTGGAATGGACATGCTGCAGGCTTTTCGTGGCTTGTCAACGGTATTCTGGGGGCAGTTCAAGGTTTCGGGCTTGTGGGTTTAGCCTTAGGGGTTTAGGGCTTTGGGTCCAGGGCTTGGAGTTGAGTTCAAGAGTTCAGGGTCGGGACTGCTCGAAGACCAGCAAGCTCAGGAACTCGGACGTGTGCACATGACCGTCAAGGTGGGTGAGGACAAGGTGCTCTACAAGCCCAAGGAGCCCGACGGGGCTGACTCCTGTGGTGTATCCGACCTCTGTGGCAACTGGCTGTTGGAGATTTCGGTACTTCCAATTCCTTAGCCCGACCCACACCCGTTAGATCTCCATGACTGAGACAGTACTCCGAAAGGGCGAAGTAGACGTCGGCAGCCTTCCAGAATTAGAGTTGATTTGAAAGGAGGGAGTTATGTCAGCATCCTACCCGGTCTACGAGTTCGACCGCAAAGAGTGGGACGAGACCGTGGGCCATGCCGTTGACGGCACCGTCAGTGCCTGAGGAACTGCTTAGCGTCTTTACTAGGGTATTCGGGTCTAAGGTGCATAGGGTTAGGGTTAGGGGCTAAGGGTCGCGGCCCACGAGTCCTGCAAAGCTTTCATGCAAGGGCGTGGCAGTGCGTGGTTGAAGGCAGGAATGTATTTCTCTTGTGTACATGATTTTCTCTTGTGTATCTTATACCATATTCATCGTAATCACCTAACTATAATATAGGGTAATGACTATGAAACTATAGGCGGATATAGCAACTATGTCACACCAAAGCAAAGTAACCCTCTCCTGAAGAAATGTGTGCCTTACCCGGAGGTTTCAAGTCTAGGAATATCCTGTCCCTTATGCGGTCGGAGCGCCATAAGTGGTGACGTCTGCGGGGTAGGGGTGGTTGGATTGCATAAGGGATTCGGAGTTCAGGGTTTGCAGAGGTTGGCAACGCCAAGCCCATAGGAAGTGGAATAGCCGCTCAAGACAATAGACATCTCGATGTGATCGATGAATATGGGCACTTGTTCACAAGGTCATCGCGTATGAGGAGCTGGCGAGCTCTACATCCACCTCGAAAGTTGATGACAGCCTTCCTCATCCAGAGGGCGGCTTCAAGCATCCATACCACAAGCGCGCAGCTCAGTCGATGTGACGTTTTGAGGATCCCGAACTTTGAAGAAATCCGAAAGCAGCTCTCTGTGAATAGCGCCCGTCACACAGCACTGTGTTCAGTTGGTCCCATCACATGATAAGTCGGAGCTGGCTAAAGGTGTTGCGAACTCCGTCCTGCAAGCTAAAGCTTAAAGCATTGGAGTCGATGACCCTTGGTAAAGGTTTGTAGGGTTGTAGGCTTCATGACCTACATCTGCAACTTTTTGTGTCTGACATGTTCCGTGAGGTGCCACATCACGAAGGTAACCAAGCCTGATCTGTCAAAGACTAAGAAGGGCTGACGCCGCGCACAAGTCCGGTGTTCAGATGCCGACAGCATCCGGGGTGGACGATCCGTCTGCCTACCCCTGTCAGAATTGTAGGGTTTATTTACTTTGGTCTGGAGGTATGGTGGGTGCAGCATTTTGTCGTGACATGAAAAATGTCTAGATCTTGTGTTTGAGTCTGTCAGCTGAGATTTCACCACGAAGCGCAACTTCGTAGCGCGGCCATGGATTAAGATCCGCTTGAAAAAGGAAGCAGAGCTCTTGCTTTCAGCTTATGGCTTAGATCCCAAGAGCCTAAGTAATGGTTACACGAAACCCGTCGCCAGCGATCCTACAGGCTCTTGATGGAGCTGGTTGAAGGGCTTACCCATAGGCTCCATAGTAGTTCCCTTTTCGGGGATTAAAGTTTGGATCCAAATATAATCCCAAAGGACACTACTATGGAGCCCATGGGAAGGGCTGAGGGCCGACAGTCGGGACCTTCAAGCTGAATGTCGCGCAGTGGTCAGAGTTTTGGTGTTGATAAGACTGGATTTCGCTGTCTTTCGATGCCCAGGGCCTTTGCCCAACCTGAAGCCTTGAGACAAGTTACCCCGAAAGCCTGAAAAGTATCGAGAGCCCCACTTCGGCCCCTTTCTGACCCAACTATGCCGGCGTGAGCCGGCAACGCCACACACCATAGATATCGCCCGCTGTTCCGTTCGACGCAGGCTGCACGTCACCGACGTCGGAGCCGCGCTGCTGTTTGCAGATTGCTGCGGTTCGGGGATTATGGCGGCATGGTTGTGGGATGCAAGTGCAGCCAGGGTCAGGGTTTTGGGTTTAGGGTAATTACTACTGCTGAACGTCTAGCAGCTTTTCTGGCTCTTGGGTTTAAGGCACTGTGATGGCGGTCTCGACCGAAGTGGACCCGAAAGACAAGCACCTAATCTGCTGTTACACGCCAAGTCTGAAGCCAGCCCTTTGCGGTCTTGGGCAGGGTTTTAGCGTTCGGGTTCAGGGACTCGCTTCCGAAATCTCTCGGCCGCTGATACTGCCGCACATCAACCACTCTCGTTTCCATCCCACGGTCCCGGTCAGAAAATGCAGCATTCTTCGAACCTGTTCTCCGACATGTAAATCCGTTGAGGCGATGTTGGTAGGCATCACATCGAGCCGAATCTATGTCCTTGCCTTAAACCCCTAAACCCTAAAATCCAAACCCCTGAACCCTAAACCCTAATCCCTAAACCGTCGTTGTAGGAGCCGGCGGCGGCCATGGACTGTGCATCTGTGCCGACGTTTGCCTCTCAGCCCTTGCAGTTGCACAAGGGGGGGGAGCTTCCCAGAGGGCCCAATACCCATTAATTATATTAAGCAATATACCTTAAATTAGAAGGGGTACCCCAAACTTATATTAAGCAATATACCTTAAATTACGAGGTGCTTCATAAAATGTTTTAAGCTATATTCCTTCATTAAGGGGCACGGGGATCTCTGGCTTGTTCCGGGCCTTGGAATTCTGGCTGCGGCTGACCCGAAGACCCCAAGACCCGAAGCCTTGACTGAAAGGGTTCTTTTAAGGGTGCTTTTGAGGTTTCCTTTAAAGGGAGCCCGTAAACGGAGGGATTATAAAAACGAAGAAACGCATAAGTGCAGTTTGCATTAAAGCTCACAAGCGCACCTGAGAAGCCAAAGGCCGTCTTCAGCTTCACAGCCACGCGCCCAAGGGGTTTAGGGTGTGGGGTTTCAGGGTTTCAGGGTTTGGGTTTTTCAGGGTTACAGGGTTTAGTGTGAATTTAGGGTTCAGGGTTTTTCAGGGTTTCAGAATTTCAGGGTTGAGGATTGGGGGGGCTTCTAGGGGGTGCAGGCTGTGTTTGTCGGGGGGTTGGGGAGGTCTTCAGGACTCTTCTGTGTTTTTTTTGGGTTCAGGGGTTTAGGGTTTAGGGGTTTAGGGTTTAGGGTTCAGGGGTTTCGGGAGGGGTTTGTAAGGTCTAAGAAAGGTGTTGGGGTTGTGCACTTTGGGTGTTGGAGTCTTGGAGTGTGGATGTGGATAGAAGTCTCTTGCCGAACTCTGGGGTGTTTTCGGTGCCAGCTGCCAGAAACCATAGGTCAGGAGTTTTTGGACTCGACCAAGCCAGAAGCAACAAAAACACCCCGAAACCCTGAACCCTAACACCGCACAGCCATAAACCCTAAGACCCCGCAACCTAAACCCAAGCAACACCCTAAACCCAAATATCAAACCCAAAACCTAACAAACCCTAAACCCCCAAAGCCCCAATTCTGCAACTCCAAACCAACAACACCCTGAAAAAAAAATGCATCCCTAACACCCCTAAACCCTAAACCCCAAACCCAAATCCCAAAGAGGGCTGTTTCGGGCATGCGAGGTTGGCGACACGAACGAGAGTTCGACCCCCGTGGCCCGGGCCTTTCTAGGGCTTTTGGAGCTTTAACATTGGGGGCTCAGGGTTTAGGGTTTTGGGTTCTGGGTTTAGGGTTTAGGGCTTAGGGTTTGGGGATTAGGGTTTAGGGCTTAGGGCTTAGGGTTTGAGGTTCCTTGAGGGCTCTAGGGCTTTAGTCCTTTTGGGCATGAAGGCCAAGGCTTGGGGCCTTTGAGGTGTTAGAGTTTGGGGACGTTTAGGGATTTCAGAGCTTTGGCATTTAGGGCTTTAGGGACTTTAGGGGTTTAAGGTTTCAGGTTTAGTGGGTGTAGGGTTTAGGGTCAAGCAGGTATTCATTCAGAAACCGAGCTTGAAGCACGGCTGCCGGACAGTGATGTTTGGCTTTGAGGGTTGTTGATTCCTGCTTCCTACAAGTGCTGATCATGGATTCGCGGCTGCTCCGGTATCGCTTTAGATGCTCAGCCTCTCCCCCAACCCTGGACCCTAAACCCGAAACCCACGGGTCATCATAATAATGCTTACCTGCTTTGACTTTGAGGGTTTAGCTTCAGGGGCTACAGCCCATACAAAAAACCCATAAAGTTGGGAACCGGATTAAGGCCAAATAGTGCTGGGATTCCCTATACATTACTCTTAAGGATTGAGGCTATGGGGTTTCCAACTTTTTGGCTTCTACTGTAGAAGGAACCGTTGAAGGAGCCCGACGCCATCGAACGGCAGATCCGAAGTCATGCAGCCGAAGAGCGCCGAAGCCCAACTGCAAGCCCTACGCATTAAGATCGAAGCCCTAAACCTTGCATCCCGTAAGAAGCAACAAACCCCAAACCCCAAACCCCCAAGCCTTTGAATGATAAGAGCTGAGTCTTAAGCACAAGACGTTACACACTACGTAAGGCGTATGAATGACAAAAAAACCCTGAAGCTTAAGCAGTAAATCTTGAAACCCTAAGCCCCAAACCTTGTCTCCTAAAACCTCAACCTTATGGATGCCTGAAGGACGGTTTAGGATTCAGGGCTTTAGAGGTTTAGGTTTAGGGTTTCGGGTCTAGGGTACCAAAAGGAATCCTAAACCCTTGCCTGGAGCTGCGAGGTTCAACCTGTTTCAGTTTGAGCTCTCATGAAGAGGGCGGTTTTGTACAGCTTTCAGGTTCGAGGTGTGAAGCGCAGGGGGCGATTCATATGGCAAAGAGGGACGGCTTTCATGTTGCTTCAGATGCTGTGAAGCGAAATGGGTCATATCAGTTTCCTGCAACAGAGCCGACCTGTCCATTGTCTTGCGGCAGTCGTTTTGAGTCCAGTGGCACTTTTTGGGTTCAGAGTTTCAGGCATTTTCACATGACGCAGGCAAGAAGGTTCCTGGACATGATTCGTGTGTTCCTTTAGGCCCTTCCTGTTGCACCTCCCTTTTGCATAGTTTAGAAGTTGGTCTGAAGCTTGGGCAAAGGAATCCTGGCAAGTCGCCACGGGCTCCTGAAGCTCAAATACAGAGTCCATGGCGGGCTGCTCTGGTTTCTACTGTGGACTAGCTTAACGAGCTTGTTATTTCATGTTTATCTGCAGAATTCGGTTCTCCGAACCATCGCCTATACCTGTTCTTCAGACATGCACCTGCACGTCATGAAGATATGAGCAAGACTCGGGGGACGAGCTAAGTCAACAAGGGAGCCCGTGTCACTTGATTCCCTTTGCTTTCAGTCACTCTTCTCGCAGGATCCGGTTGCCGGGCCGTGTCCCGCATATCTACCCGGCTTGTGAACCCTCGAAAATAGGGACACTTGTCAATATAGGGGCTTAAACAGTTTCCAATCCTATTTTGGGGTTTCCTTGTTAATATACACCAATATCTAATGATTGAGGCCCCTACATTATGGAACCCCCTGTAGGTCCCTTGTAAACCCCTTTAAGCATCCCTTTAAAGGAACCCAGTTCTAATCATTAAGGAACCAGGATCCCTTTAAAGGAACCCTGTTCTAATCATTAAGGAACCCAGTTCTAACTATTGAGGCGCCTAGGTTATGCAAACTCTCGGAGCTCGTCACCATGGCCCCTTGAGACCCTCCTCTCACACGGCTTCGGTTGGGAATCGGATCCTAAAGCTCGCCAAACGGTGCAGTCGGCAAAGCACCCAGAGAGCCCAACACCCCCTAATTAGGGAATTATAGCTTAAATAATCATAAGATGAACCCCCTCAGAATTTTAGGTACATTGCTCAATATAAGTAAGGGGTATTGGGCTCTCTGGGCACTGCAATCGGCCCAAGATGGGCGCAGGTTGCGTTTAGAATCGAGGCTCGAAGCTCTCGCGATCCTGCTTTGGGTTAATTTGATGCTTGTGATCTTATCTTAGTAGTTTTCGTATGTTTGTTAGTATTGCTTAGTATTCTTGTTACTAGTCATTGTCACTACTATTTTTAGCAACAAGATGTGATTGTTAACTTTGGAATATATACTTTGGATATCTTTTCAGGGTTTGGTCTCGGAAGCTCGCAACGGAATTGAAAGCAAAGTCCAAGTCCCTCGAATAAACCTGCTTCCAGGCCCACCTCAAAAACTCTGCTTGGGGTTGGTAGCTGAGTACAGTTTTGGGCTTCGCAGAATCAGCTAGACGAGATGGGCAGCAGAAGATCAA